TTGTGGTTTAAACCCGATTTTATTGTGGTGATAGGAAATTTTTGAATGAATACCAATATTGGCTATATGTTGATTTGGCTTACAGGTTACAAAAACAATAACAGCCAATTTTCAGCTGATTATAGTCCAGATGGGAAGTACGTAATCAGCGCTAGCGAAGATTCGCAAGTATACGTTTGGAGGCATGAAGGAAGTCGAGGGAAAAACAAACATACGATCATCAAAACCTACGAACACTTCCCTTGTAAAGAAGTGTCCGTTACAGCACCATGGCCCGGCAGCAGCAGGATCGACCCACCAGTCGTCGCAATGCATTCCAAACGACACTCCAAAAGGTCCACCACCACCCTGCCGCCTACCGCCACCGCTGCTGGCAGCATTTCTCCCCTACACGATGATACCGGCCATGGTAAGAGAGCAGCATCGCTGCCACCTCTTCCTAAAAGGAGTGGTGAGAGCATTAAYGAGGACTTGGATCATCATTCCAGTACTGACTCGAGCGTTGGCCCTAGCGAGTCGTTCAACTCTGCCGCCAGTTCTCCGGGAAGGTTCGACGATGTAACGGGATCTTCACCTAACCATCCATCACCCTCGAGGCATGAAGGTGGTGGCGGCCATGGCCACAAGACCATCCAAGCAACGGCATGGGGTTTAGTGATTGTGACAGGAGGGTTGGGTGGTGAGATTAGGGTTTATCAAAATGTGGGTYTGCCATTTAAGGTTGGTCGTTTGTAATCTTAATTTCTTTCGAAAAGTCAGGTTAAATATCTTTTAAAAAAAACGTATAGCACTAGAAGTTAGTGGTGAAATGTGTGTCATTCGATCGATCTTGATAAAATCCTACCACTAGAAGAAAAAACAGATACCAAATAGCCTTAGTGGACAAAACCAGGAATTAAGCTTCTTTTTTGTTCCTGACTTATTGTAAAATATGAAAACCTTTTAGTTTATATAGTATAAGGTTTAATTTTGTATAAATACATAAGTCATCTTAAGGAAGTTTACCGAATGCTTATTTGGTAAGTATTTATTGTAGAGTGTCATATTTCTTTCTGAAGTACAAAATTTTGAAGCCGTACATGTCAATTGACATCTTATCTTGAATAAGTAGATTATAATTATTATTCCATGATTATTTAGGATGATAGTATAGGATCTGGATATTTTTAAATATTAATTTACTATTAAATAACTAATTACTAAATAAAAATAAAAATAAAATATTTTTAATTTCAATTTAAGTGCAAATCCCACAATTTTGAAATAATGGATTTTGGACAAATTTTTTAGTTAACAGATTTTTTAAAACATTTCTTCAAATACATAAAATATCATAAAAAATGTTTGAAATTCTCTAAATTTGGAAACCTGTCAAAAAATTTATTGTGAAGATGAACGTTTTTTTTATATTTTCATAAATAAGAATTTTTAAAAATTTAAAATTTAAAAAAATTAATGGTATTTTAACGATTTAGAGTCCGTGTATATTTTTTTTTAAATATAGTTTTTGAATGTAAATTTATCTATACTATATTATAAAGTATTTGACAAAAACTTTAAAAAACTATTTTTTATGCATGAAATATTGTTTATTGATGAATATTACTTAAAATTCAATATCACAAATAAATTATGTATAAGTATAAATTATTAAAGTTTCAAGTTTGAATTCATGTAACTAACTGCAGATAAACATATTCAAATACAAGATAAATATTTCATTTTAAATATAATTAGGATAATCATTGAGTTCTAACATAGTACTTAATTATTTCTATTATAAAAATTATATTATTAAATTAAAAATAAATTACTTCGTTATCAAATATAAATTAAATTATAAAAAAAATTGGATCGAATAAATTACACAAAAAACAAGAATTTTTAAATAGTTAATTTGATATATATTTATTTTCGAAATTTTATGATATTTTYAAATTTATATGTTATTCAAATATAAAAACATTATTCCTTTCTTAAAACCACATTAAAACAATATTATAAAATCTACATAGACGGAGTAAAACAAAACATTAAAATCGATATATGTTTTATTGCATTGCAAGAGTATCTTTTAGTTTATAAAAATGTAATTTAATATTTTTTTTATTTTGAAGAATGTCCCCTAAATTTGAAAACTTGACGCGATTCTTGTCGGCTTTATCAATTTATTTGTACTAAACGACATCGCATAATTAAGGTTTTTGAATATTACCTGGCGGGCTTTGCTGCTGAGCTCTCTCTTCCATCTCTGCAGAGATGATACCGCCGATGAGCCAAACCCTAGATGACAAGGATCTCGACGACGAAGCTCTGTGGGCCGTAATTGATTCCGCCGTCGCATCGTCGTCTTCCGCCGCTAAATCTCTCAAAGCCGTCCCACCTCGAAACTATAATAATCGCTTTCATTCTCCAAAACTGAAGTTTCCAATCATTTCAAAGTTTACCTCTTCATCGCCATCATCCAGCAGCAGAACCCCAAGAAGCCATCTAATAGCCAACGGGGAGGTACTGCAGGAGGAGAGTTACACTCTCCAACGCCCGCAGAAGATAGCCAGGTTATGTCTCTCTGAAACAACTTCTCCTCCTGCTCCTCTTGTTATGGTGAAGCACGTGCAGCGCACGCCGACCACGCCATCCTCGAGTTGTTCGGAGTATCCGATTCAGAGTCCTACAAATAATTGTTCTTCTGATTGTTCGGTGATGACACATAGCTTGTCTGGTCGATTCCCTACTGTTGCTCTCTTCAAAGAATACCAGAATGCTGCTATGGCGGTCGGTACATATCATGATCATGTTTCTCCTTTTTTTGTTAATTGCTTCATATATGTTATCCGATCCAAAAATGAGTTAAACTTCTAGTGTTAATTGACATRGGATGAACTAGTTTTCATGTTCTAAACCGAATTTCTTTAGGTAAATTTGTAAAAAATTCCTGAAATTGAGTGAAGCAGGTAAAATGTTGAACCTCAAATGAGAAAGTACTTTCATAATTAATAGAAGTAGTTAACCATAGCTAAATACTTCCATAATCATTGCAAATATCTTGTACATTCGAATCAAAGTAGGTATTGTGGACCAAAATGAATCACCATTACCGTGTGTCACAAGAAGGAAAGTGCTAGCAATTAGTGTTTGACATAGAAGGTATTCGTTTYTTCACGCATTTGGACAAAGAATCGGTTTCTTTGTCTTAACTTTTGGRGGGTTAAAATCTTCCCTTTTGCATATCATGTTATAAGCAGGGTCAGGTGAAAGTCTTTGATCCAAATTTCTTAAAGTTGATCAAAAGTGGTTGCACAAATCAAATAAGGAATCTAAGATAAAGCAGATATATAAACAAGAATGTTTATTGTGGTTCAGGGCTTGGATATCTGCGATTTTCCCTAGGGCTTGAGACAAATTAAGTGTGAGCTTGCTGGCGATTTTGGTTAAAGGAGTTGATAGAAAAGACAGTAGAGACTGGAGACCAGTAATGTATGCAAGGGTTGGTCATAAAACCATATATATATGCTTCTTGTCAGATTGTAGTGAACCACTTCACCATCAGACTTTTGATAGAAGAGACTATAGAACCATTTCATCATCAGGAGAATATTGCTCTTCTTTTTTGTTGATAGCAGCAACTAAGGTCCTCTGATTTAAGCGAAAGTATAGAAATCCGCATCAATAACCATCAGATGGCAACACCTAGAGTGGCTACATTGCGTTCAATTTGGTTCTCTCTTATTATTATATGGTTGTTACTAAAGATTTCATTGTCTGTTTGCAGATTCTGGAGAAGGGTGACTATACTCTAATCTCTGGGAATCCTTTCATCAAAAAGTCTGGTAAAATTATTCACCTCCTAATTCATTTTGGTCCTCACAATGTTGCTGAAGTATTCAGATTGCAAAAACAGGTTGGAGAAAGATATCATGTTTTTTCAACATCTCTTATGAAATTAAAGATAAGAGTATAGAGTTTGATGATAATCGTAATGTTCAGCGTGCTGAATTCATYGTTCGGGCACATATGCAGTATGTTTCTTTACTTCAATTTGTGTATGAGATTGCAGAGTTGGTTTCTATTGTTCATTTTCTTACAATTCTTTTTATTTGTTCTAGAGGGGGTAGGTTYTCGGATGGATGGGGATCATGTGATAGACGTGAGAAGAAATTTATAAAACCAAATCACGATATTCCTAGCACGGCTGAAACCAGGGCAAAAAATAAAGCATGCCAGGTAAATTTCTCTCTATACGAATTCATCTGTATTCTAATATTCCCTGCATAGGACCACTTTGGCGGTATGCGTCCCTTCATTGCTTCAATTAGTCTAGGCCACTAAATCAAAAGAGTAGGAGTACATCCTCTAACACTTTGGTTAGCAACTAACCATTGTATCAAGTGAAGCATAGATCAATTAACATTCATAAACTTTGTATGCTTTTAGATCATCTCCGACTAGATATCATAGATTCCAAGTTAGTTTCATGAACTAGTTTGTGAACTATTCCTTTGTTTAGTCTACTTCCATGTATCAATCCATATGTTTCTATCAATAGAGCGACTGTATTAGTCGTGTCAACTTAATTTGGACAGAAGGTTCATGGTTCAACCTTTAAATTTTCTGTACACAGTAACATACGGGGATGGACTATGGTTTCTATAATGTTGAATTCCACCCATGCGCGTTTTTGCTGCCTTCAGAGAACCCCGACATTCAACTAATGAAACTAGTAATAGTTGACCATTAAGCTGAAAAGAAGGAATTTGAGATGATGAATGCCAACAGGGAAAATGGAAAATGTTGRAAGATTTGGTAATTGTGGTTTTTGAGCATGTGGGAAGTTGATATGATATGGTTTTGTTTGGGTTAAAGTTAGGAATGAGATTGAAGTCTGATTATTGGGAAGTAAGAGCATCTCCARTGGAGTGACTTATAAGAACCTCATTTTTACACTCTTTTTGTCACACCATTGTCAACTCAGYAAATTAAAAACTACAATRAACTCCACAATGGTAGTGACTAATAAGAACCTCGTTTTGGTGTGTCTCATGTATTACTTCATCAACAATAATATGGATATAAAAGTAAAACAAATATATAAAAAACTAATAGAATGTYAGTAAGAACCAAGGTTCTTGKWMAAAAACTCCAAAAATATGGTCGACTTATAAGAACTTTCTCCAATGATTGTTTATATAAGTCGCTATACTTTTTGCTTATAAGGACATCCRATTGGAGAYGCTCTTCATGATGTTTCTTATGTGTTGCAGGACCTGCTAGGGATTGGAGAGTACCGTCCTGGTGTCGGTGGTCAGAGATAAATAAAAGAAACCAACTTCATGCCATACATATATGGTTAAAATCGACTGGTCTCAATATASACACACACTTTGTGACCCGACTCCAAAGCTCACCAATGTTTTTAAGAGTTATCTAACGACTAGTTGACAACTTTAGCCGTAGGATGTGCAGTAACTGTAATTTGGGTCGAAAATCAGCCGCTAGCCTACAAGGCAAAATGGTCATTTTGTACTCATCATTCATTACTGGTTATGGTGTTTGGAAATGGCATACCAGATGCCTAGCCAAATTTACCAGTTGACTTGTGAGAAGTCCATAAATATAGATTGAAAGTGTAGTCCCTTAATTACTCCCTTRTTTGTTAATTTTGAAAGCTTAGTGCCTAAAACATAAGCTTACATAAAAAAAARTCATTACAATTGCATTTATAAAGTGTCTCACGGCAGTTCTCTTGGYGCACCGTGGTTCAAGACTTGTGTCTCACTCCATGTTAAGCTTGTGACATTTCATGGCCGATGTGTAGTTCTCGTAACGTGAAATTTTACTTTTCTTACCTTTTTAGTTTTTAGTATATAATCTAATTTAATTTGTTTAATGTAATCGACTTATTGATTAACGGTAAAAAAAAATATGTACACAGTACATATATCATTATATATCATATAAAGATTTGCCGTCTTAAGTCACGTCTTGAAAAGTACCGTCGTCTTGTCATGGCTCCTAAGACTTGAGGTTTGACCTTGCCGTCATGCCATTTAAAAAAATTGTCCTTCAATCATATGATAAAAAATGGTGTGGCTGTATGACCTGTGCTTTTGGTGTCATATTCCATTCAGCYAACCAAACACAACAAACTTCTCATATTTCAAATGTTAATAAATCTTTACTAGTCCTTGTGAGTAATCAAAATCTGCATTAAGCTCTACCTTAATTAAATTCCATCCTGTCCATACACAGAAATAAAAAATAAAAAATAAAAAGACATGTAAATCTATTTTGAGGCATATAATTTTAATAATATTTTCAAAGATCTTTGATCGYTTTTGTTCAAATGAAAGGTGTGTTTCGGAACCATCATCCTCTTAAGTACAACGTGGCATTAATCCTTCGTACAGAAATCCAAGCGCCATCCAGCGATTCCTAAAACAGAACGAAATTTGACATAATCAGAAACTCGGATTTTACTCCTCATAAACCATCAAGAACAACAAAGAATCATATGACAACAATTCATTGGAATAGGGTCAAGAACAAGTAGTAGTTGAACAAAAGTCGAGTCCCATTCTTTTACAAACCCAATAATCCGTACAAACTTATAAACCAGTTTTTATGTGTTGTTTCATATGTTTATAYATTGTTGTTCCACATGTGAAACATTCACGACTGCATTTTTCCATACACAAAACAATCTTGATCGTTGTTTMACAAATGAAACAACATTGTATTTTCACGCATGTTTCCTAAACACATGAAAACTGGCTTGTAAGTTTGTATGAATTATTGAGTTTGTAAATGATCATGTATATATATATATATATGTGGGATTGATCATTTGAGACCTCTAAAATTTATGAGATCGTGAGAACTTCTACTTTAAGTTCTCATTTCACATGATCTTTTTTCAATCCAAGTATAATACCTAATGTATTGATTAACATATGTTTATTCCACAATGTGTTTGTTTCATATGTATTCGATTCACAATGTGAAACTTGTTTACTTGTATTTTTTGTTTCACAAACACCAAAAAGTTTCACATGGTGCATCCACTACATGTAAAACAATCACAGTATGAAACAAATATATGTTAATCAATACATTAAATTCTAGCCATAGATGATATATTTCTATATATAAGATTTATAAAGATAGATGATAAAACGATGAAAATGCCGGAAAAAATCACACGAAACTTCAATGTATGCAAGGCCAAGAAATTCTAGTAAATAGTACTTCTAGTCTTATTGCAAAATAACCATTAGAAAATGCCAGAAAAAATCACTCACCCTGATTGTGGATTTGAGCATAGTTAAACATGAACTATTTAGAAAAAAATTCTAGGAATCGGTAACTATAAAGACACTTACAGTTTCTTGCACAAGCAACAGCCAATGATTATGATGCATTTGAACATGCTTTGGTTACAGAGTTGTCGTCTTTCACTGCCAAATCTGCAGATCTAGGTTCACTCTTGCACGACTCCTCAACGTATCTGAACTCAAGTTGCTTTTCCACGGACTTATTATTGGACTTCCGTTTATACCTTAATCGATAAGGGGGAGATGCATTGTACGTATTATTAACACTAGCTAGCCCACCTTCGACTCCATTGCCAAGACTATCAGCACTCCCGCAAGAACCTCCACCATATGACTCGGATTCCTCCAAATCATCGTTACTTTTTCTTTCTTTATCGCCAGTTAAAACCGTTGCTACTTCATCAGCCTTCAGAATCTTGTGAAATGAAAGAGATGATTGATCTTTTCTCTTTCTTAATATGGAAGGCGTATTAGGAAAGCTCTTAGCGGCAATCTTTAAGATGGATTCTGGGGTTTGTGCATGTAAACTGCTACATTTTTCAGCATAAGGCGGAGTTGAGGAACACCGAGGTGACGTTATTGGATTTGAGTTATACTCCCGGCAGTTCCACGGCATATACAGAACACCCAACTCGGTTGGCATAAAACTACCAATCTGTGGAGGCTCATAATATAAAGAACCRTAAGCTGGAAACTGACTTTGTATTGGTGTTATACTCAACGGCTCCGGATTGTCATTGATTGTACTGCAACTTTCGAACTTTGGAACCAAATTTCGACTAAGGTGACTAAGATCAAACTTTGAAGGTTGCGACTTGCTTCCAATGGCTTCGGAATCAGTAGAGCCACTTGGAACAAAACTTGATGAAGCATCTACATCTTGAGAAGGGGTAGAACATTCTAGATCATCTGCGGCATCTGCTTCCACCTTTCGTTGTTCTGCAGTTCCTGGTGAGGTCCGAGCAGTTGTAACTGAACAAGCAATCAGTTTTCCGGTTGAAGCTGGTTTGCTTACATCTCCACCTCCATTCTCATTCTTTGGAACAGTTGGAAGGTTCCCCGTGGCCAAATAGAAATCTAACTTCTTCTTTAAGGAACTATTCCAATGATTTTTTATTGCGTTATCAGTCCTGCATGAGAACATTTAAGTAAACAAAGATGAGAACATTTTGCAATGTTTTTTTAATCAAAATAAGCAGCCCTCCAAACCCAACCCACGGCCCATCAATGAATTAGGGCCTGTTTGATAACAGCTTAATGAGCTTAATGGGACTCGCAGCTTATTCAGTCAGCTATACATGACTGTTTGGTAGTGGCTTAGGGGCTGTTTACTAAATTTTCTATTAAGTTCTGTATGGATAAATTTGTCTGTTTGGATAAATTTGTCTGTCTGGATAAATTTATGTTGCTGTTTACTTTTCTATCTGAATAACAGTCTGAATAACAGAAATAACCAATTTACCCCTGAGGATAGAAAACCTTAAGCAAACAGCAAATACCCAAAAAAAAAAAAAATGCAAACTGCAGCTTGAAATTTCTTGTTTCCATTATATATACCATAAAATTGATTTTTGCCTGTTCATCCTCCCTCTCGCCTGTTTGGTGTTCGCCATCTCCGGTTGCTTTGCCGCCATCTCCGGTTGCTTTGCCGCCACCCCTATTTGCTTCGTCACTGGCGACCGGTCTGAGCCTTCGTCTTCGTCGCCTTCGCCGCTCTACTCGTTGCAACAGGTATGGTCGATCGACGGAAAAGAGAGCAACAGCCGTCGATCGATGGAGAAGAGACCAAGGGCCTACCTCTCTTTTTAGGCTGCGACAATGGTGATGAAGCTTCTTCCATTGAATAATTGGTTCTTGAGGGAGGTTTAAAAACCCTTGGTCCCTCGCTCTAAAACCCTATTTCTCTCTCTAAAAAGCTTGAGAGCAAAAGGGACCTACACCTTACAGTGAGTAGAGAAGAGAGCAACAGTCAATCGATGGAGAAGAGATCGATGGAGAAGGGCCTGTTTACTTGTTGATCGATGGAGAAGAGAACGAAGGGCGTTGGATCGATGGAGAAGAGAACGAAGGGTGTTGGATCGATGGAGAAGAGACTTGAGAGAGGCGTGACTATTGTGTAAGGGTAGGACAAGTCTTTTACCTGGCTTAACCTGGACAACACATGTTTTTCATCTGGGGGAATAAGCCCATTTCTGAGCGAATAAGCCCAAGGTAAACAGCCTTGTTTGTYTGTGCGAATAAGCCGGTTTACCCACTAAGCTCATTAAGCCACAAGTAAACAGGCMCTTAATGATATAGAACGTGGCTTATTCAGTAAGCTTTTAGGGGTGAGCTTTATGCAGAAAAACAAGCTTTTTCCAAACCAGTCCCTTCCAATTAAAAGCACACTCTTTCCGTAATGAAAAAAACCTTCCAAACAAAAACTTTCTCAATCTAGACAGACAGATTAACCCACACAGACAACTTTACATACATGACTTAATAAAAAACCAACCGAACAGACCCTTAGCCAGTCCAACCWAGTTTGCTTAGTTTTTCATAGTGTTTTGTATAGGGGTGAGCAGCGGAACTGGGTACCCGGTTACGGAACCGGAACCACCTTGGAACCACCGGTTCCGGAACCGGAACCGATATGAGTGGTTCCGGTTCCGGTTCCGGTTCCTAAAATACGGAACCGATTGAGAATGGTTCCGGTTCCGGTTCTCAATTTTTCGGAACCGTTACCYGCCGGGTACCCGGTATTTTTTAATACCAAATTTATATTAGGTTTACATCTTAAAARCATGTCGTCATCTTCATTCTTCATCTAAATTCTTCATATAAAATGATTCGTATTTTTTCAAATTGTGTGTTCACTTGGATTCATAGTATGTAATCGTTAAACTTTGAACAATTACCATTATAGTATGTAATCGTTAAACATTGAACATTTTCTATTAGTCTATTATGGTTTGTAATCGTTAATCAATATTTGTAACCATTATTCTTTATAATTTGTATTCTTGCTTATTTATTAGAGTTTTGGCAATGTTTTATTTTTTATTTCTAAATAACAAAATTTTAATATTTTAGGAAGCGGGTACCCGGAACCGGTTCCCGGCGGTTCCGGTTCCAAAAATTTAAGAACCGCTCTAACCGGTTCTGGTTCCGGTTCCAATATCTCAAGAACCGCCGGTTCCGGTTCCTGTCAAAAAGGGCGGGTACCCGCCTATGCTCACCCCTAGTTTTGTAGTGTATTTTGTAACTATAACTAATTTTTATTCAAGTTTACATTACGGAAATTTTGTTGTCACACCCCTACAAAAAGTTCTAGGTCCACCCCTGACTTCAGTAATGTATTTTGGTGAAATTATAGAACTACAGACACAGGGGGCGTAAACAATCACCTTCCAGGCAGTGCCTTTGCTATTTCGGCCCATTTGTTTCCATGCACACGATGTGCATTCATGAGGGCCAACTCCTCTTGCAGGGTCCAAGCATCCTTTTTTATATCCGGATTCAAATGATTGTGCCACCTGAAATAATTTGTAGTCGTCTTCAGAGATAACATAATCATGGAAAAAAATGCAGCGAAGTTAATGATTTGAAGATCTGATAGACAAAAGAATAGATATTAAATGTATAGCAAGTATGATTATGTGTAATCCAATATAATGACAGKAAAACACGGCTGATCTAACTCTTAAGTAAGAAAGAAACAACAAACCCAAGTTAAAATAACAATTGAAGGACGAAAAAAGTAATCAAAACATTAACATAAGCAATGAATCATTATAATACCTTTCACGGCATTGTTTCCCAATACGACCGGGCAGAGACTTTGCTATGAGAGACCATTTTGTGGGCCCATATCTTTTCACCAACTCAACGATTTTGTCATCCTCCTACAGCAAAAGAACAGAGACCAAGACATTTTTTAAATCAAATGTTTCAAAGAGTTTATGCAAAAATGCTACAACTGAAAGTAGGAAGGAATCAGGTGCAAACCTCTTGGGTCCAAGGACCTTTAATAAGTTCTGGATTAAGAACCTTTTGCCAGCGATGCAGACATTGGACTTCTGATCTATCAGGAAAATATTCAGCTGCAAAACAGCAACATCCATAAGCAAACCCCATTCYTATTCAAGAAAATTGAGCAAGGCAACTTGATGCAGAGTACAATAACTGAATCGAAGATTAATCCGGTTGATTCTCTAAATACCCAGATCAATCTCTTCTAAAGCTCGTTGATTCAACGAATACTGAGCTTTAGGCTCAAACTCGAATCCAAAGTGAACTCAGAATTTGGATGGAAATGGAAATTTTCTGTATTGATTGATTGATCATCCACATCTTACCCAACCAACAAGTAAATAAGAGTCCCAAACATAAATGGGTCTGGAAGAGACGACGATGGGCCAAACATAAAAGCCAAAACGGAAAATAAAAGATATAGCAAAAAACACAAAAGTGTCTCAAGACATGTTCAAACAAGTTTTTAGGCCTCAAAAATCCTGTAGGCGGGGCCTAAAATGGAGACCCGTAGCAAAAGTTATGCGCGTTAAGCGCGATACCCCSTATTGGTCCRGTGATGGKCCTCCAAGAACAATAAGGCCCGGTCCTCCACTACTAGGTCCGCATAACAACTTAACTAGCCTATCTATACACCTCAAATCAAGCACTTTCCACTACAGCTTTTTAACTCAAAAGTTAACATATTTTCCATGCCCACAAGGTCAGGAAAACTAATCGACTTACAACACCATTGTTGACCAACACCATTGTTGACCAACACCATTCCTTTCAAAAAAAGTCACCTGAAAAGTTACACACATTCACCATGCTAATCTTTTAATAAAAACATCAATATTGGAGGGGAAATCGACATCCATGTTTCTATTCCATAAACTCAATACTCGCCTGCTAGTAAACTGATATTTGGATGGACAATGATCTAGTTAACTTGAGCAAAATATCAAACAAGTACCTGAACTTAGTAGCTAGTGATAATKGTCTCCATGTTCTTGGTATAATATTAGCAGTGATCCTAAGCGTACAAAGTTGGGAAAAGATGCAGCTTTTTCTCCTTCCATTTTCTGATTGCATTATCAATATTGGCACCTTTCCATTGATTGAAACAAGGCGGAACTTTTCCCCTCATATTCCTATAATTGCCAACCTTTGTTCATACCATTTTCTAAAATATTGCAATAGAGTGTCCTATCTTTGTTAAAGAACATGAAAAGGAATGTGGCTGCCAAAGATGCAATGGAATTTATGGTGGCACTAAGATATGTTGTAAAGAATGGAGATGSAACTGTTCCCTAATTATCAAATACATCGAAATATTCCATCTTCAAAATTTCCAAGACCAATCCAGTCACTGATAAATGGATCAAGTCCACAAGTGATAACATTCTGATGTATCACACCATAAGTTGACCTGTAGGATCACTAACAGCAAACACAGGTGTGCACACATTTAGATAAGCACTTAATAAATGGCTTCAAGTTAAGCATACATCTGTCRAGTCCTCCATCAAAATGTTGAGCATCAATTTATCAATTCCTTTTATTAACGTTTTCACATCATAGCCAATAGTTATGGATYTATAATTGATTAAAGCAGAAATTTATCTCAAATATTTAGTCAACCACATTTTCCACAGGGTCAAACTCCTTAGCCAGAGTATGCTTATCACAGTATTCTAATCATATATAGGCCTTTGCTTCAAGATTCTTCCACAAGTCTTCTCAACTTGTAACATGTCATTAAAAGATATGAGGTCCTTCAGAATCTTCATTCAAATCATCCTCATTGTAGGTCTCTGAGATGGATATCCAAGAATTCCTCTTCAATTACCATTTTGGTCGACCCACAAACTAATCCAGCTTCTGGGGTGCGGTTCTGATTTGACATGCATCAATCACAACAGTACACTTATCAGTTGTGTGCATTTCACTCTCCAGGGAGGTCATTCAGCCTACTACTTTTTGGCATTCTTAGCCATAGGAAATTGCTAAGGATGCAATTTGATTTAACGGAATGACAATCGAGATCAAGGGCCAGAAACACAAAATCCATTTATCTATAAACCTATAAACCTATTAGATTGGAAGCAATAAGCCTAATGGAGTCCAATGGATCTGATCCAAGAAGTCAAACCAAATCAAGAGTAACTCCACTATTTCTACATTGACATCTAATTGCACTCAAATACCTAAAATGTCACAAGTATACTAGATTTGAAAGTGGTTCTTGAAGATTGTACACATCATATCTGATGCTGAATTCGAACACGACATGATAAAACAGAACTAGGTCTCTTATCAGATGTTCACATGGACTAGGTGAATCCTCAAAACAGAACTCGACTTCATGAGATAGGAGATTGGATCTGAAGGCACAATCATCTCTAGATTTGAAAGCAATGGAATTGGTACAGAATTAGAAGCATAGTAGAACTTCGAAGATAAGATAGAAGARCAGCTTCGAATATAAATTTGGAAAAACAAAAGCAATCATCAAACAAGAATAAAACTTGCCAGTGGTTTCACATGGAAGAACTTTTGGTAGATTGGACTGTTCCAATACCAATTGACTTGATTTTGTGATGACTCTGCATGTGATTGGGACTTTCAACGCAGAAAACCAAGGGGATGTTGAGGTGTTAAAGGGATTATTCACACAGCCAAATTGAGGTGTTTACTTGGGGCTTAATAAAAACGTAATGGGCTTATTTGCACAGCCAATGAAGGTCGCTTGTCCAGGTTCAACCATAAAAATTACCTCCTCTACCCTATGAAAAAACACGCTTCTAAGTTCTACCCTGCTCCTCCTACGCTTCACAGCTGACGGCACCATCTGCATATAGMTGCTGGCTTTTGACGGTGAAATCCCTTCGAAAACCTCTCTGACAGGTGATTAGGGGGACTTTGGTAGAGGAACACAACTGTTGGATTTCTTGGTTGCAATCCCCAACCTTAAGAACCTTGGAAATTTTCATCTTGCCCTTCAAGGTTATCAACTTTCCCATCAATCAACTGCAGTCTTCGTGAACTCCGCCAGCAAATTGCCACCGTGAAAAAAACACAAAAAAGCACATAAGCAATGAAGCTTGTAGCAGCAGCAAAAGTCTGCCAAACCCAAGAAGCAGCCATTAACGGCCGATTTCTTGCTCATCATCTAGATCGATTTCCTTCGTCGTCTTCTTCGATGAATTTCTTCTGTTAGGAACTTGAAGGTGAAYGATTTCCAGGATTTTCCGATTTTAAAGTTCAATTTTTTTGTTGGATTTCATGATTTTGTGGTTCCATTTTCTTTTTTGGCTAAAGGTGTTGGGGATTTCATCTTCCAAGCTGCTGTTTTTCAGGGTAACTTTCTCATGTATCGATTCCAAGCATATTGTTGTGTTTGTGTGGATTCTTTAGGGTAGGTGCTTTTTGGTTTTTGGTTTGAAGRACAGTAGCTTTCCTGGTTTGATGAACAATAGCTTTTTGTTTTGATTTTGATTCAATTGGTGTAAACTTTTGATKTTTAAATAGTTTGATTATTATGTTTTGATGTTCAAATAGTTTGATGAATGGTAGCTTTTTGGTTTGATGAACAATAGCTTTTTTGGTTTGATTTTGATTGAACTAGTTAAACAAAAATTGGTTCAAACATGTTCAAAAAAGGTAAACAACAGTAAACAACACCACATTTTTGTTTGAGGGGTAGATCAGTGACCATTGATTCAGGTAAAAGAAATACCAACACCACATTTTTACCCCGACAGACAAATTTATCCAGATAGACAGATTTATCCATATAGAAAATTTGGTAAATATCCCCTAAGATGGATTTTGGAGGGGGGGAAATACAAACAGGTACTTATACGAAGGGCTATATGATTGACTTAAGCAAAAAGTCAAACAAGAACCTTAGCTATTAGCCAATGATTATTGCCTCCCATGCGCTTAGTAACCATCAATGAAAGATGCACTGTCTTATAAACTACAACAACTACGGGATATTTCCTCATATTCCCTAGTTGGCTACAACACTCRAAGGGCTAATTTTCAGAATCTTACYAAGGGACTATCGAAATATTTCATCCTATTATTACCAACCTTAAGGTGTTAAGCATCCTATTATGTTATCAARAGGCCTAATAAATMTATGTAACATACTTAACGTGCCAAGTCAAATATAAGTAGATGCCATGAGCAACGCAATGAGAAGAATCTCACCTATTTTCTTCCAGCATTTACCCTTGAAAACCCCTACWGCTTTTTTTAGCGTCTCATCCTGTGAAAAATCAAAGAAAGATTATAAACAAAGCTACCACTTGACATGCTATTAATTTACAAAGAAATTATCACATTACAAAGATATATATATACGTGTGTGTGAGTGTGTGAACATGCAGTTACATAAGGCATGCTACTTCCCAACTGTAGAAGAGATGTAGGAGGATTTGTTTCAGTTGTTAGAATCTCCTTTGACATCTCTTTATACAACTTTTTGCATGTAAAACACCAAAACAGTGCACAAAAATATAAAATGCTTGTTTAATTTAAGCACAAGTCCATAATTTTATATATGAGAAATAATGACTCTTCTACATCACAACTAGAACATTCCTTCAAAACTCAAGCAAATTTGCATAGAATGRGAGGGTACTACTACCAACATCACATTGAATACCAGCATACTCCAAACAAACTGCATACCTCCTCYGGGGTCCAGCCCCCCTTTGCTCGTCTAATAGGTCCAGTTGTCCTCCTATAATTCCAAAATCATATCATCAATGCAAGGAACTTGAGGATTGTATCAATTAAGAAAATAAATTAGGTGGGCACAGAATAAATAAACATAGGCTAATGATTATGCAGTAATGGCTATAAGCCTTACATGCTTTTATGTCATCTATAAGTCATAAATATCCTTAAAGGTTGGGCCTCCTTGTGTAACAACATTACCTAACTAGACATGTACAGCAAGTGATCATGCAATAATGGCTATAAGCTTTACATGCTTGGTATGTTATTATAAGGCATAAATGTCCTTAMAGGTTTTGCATCCTTGTGTAACAATATTACCTAACTAGACATGAACAGTAACTTATACCTCATATATAAAACATATCTTCACAAGACTTCAATTTCCAAAAATACAGCAAATATAATGTTACTGTCCCATAACTAAAAAAACGTGATATTCAAAGAACATACARTAATGCAAGTACATAAGTCATGCACCAACTTAGAAATAGATTCATTCTAAGCTGATCCTGATCAGTCCTACTTAAAAKAATCGAGCCGGGCTCAGATTCTCCAACAAGTTTTAGCATCTCAATTCACTTGCCACAACTTAGAAAAAGATTAATGTCAAAAGACACATTATAAGTTATTTATCACCATTTTTTAGCATCACATGCACAAATGCARTTTAGTTAAACAAAACAACTTACAACAAGATGAATACCAGATAATTTGGATACAAGTGAATATAAAGAAGCATACCGATGAGGTGGGGATGTGGCGGTAGGACTAGAAACCCGCGGGGACTTCGGCAAAACAATGCCGCTACTACCTTCGGAGAGGGATGAGCTCGATGCAGCTGCAGATTGCTTGTTTTCAAGGCAACATTCCAGCAACTCCACCTTACCCATATCTATTTCTTCCTATATGTAACCCCCAAGATAAAGTACAGAAACCATTAACTTTTCATAAYACCAAAACCCTCACAACGGACATATTTCTCAAGATACAAATAATCAGAATCCCTAAATACCATATAAACTCAAATAGTAATTCAACAATAAATACCAACCAAATAAACCCAGATCTAAGAACTAAAAACAAATCAGATCAAAGTGGCTAAACCCAATTCAATTCCACCTTCTATAAAACGATTCAAACAATTAGCACACAAAAACCCTATAAAAATCAAAAATCCAAAGAAACAGAACTACTTAAAATCAACAAACACCAACTGATTGATCAAAGGAAACGAGAAAAAGAAACAGTCTACGAATTGATAGAGACAAAAACGTCTAGAAATTAGAATGGTTTTGACTAATAATTCCTTGATATAAACTAAAAGAAACCAACCCCTGATAGTAGAGAAGTGAAGCTAATGAAGAACCCTCCTTCCTTACAGCCCAATAGAAACCATCAGTTGGAGAGATGTTCCGTTTCGAAATAAAGAAAGAAAGAAGGGGAAACCTTTGCCCGTTGAAAGATCGAGATATAGAGAGAAAGAGAGAGAGAGAGAGAGAGAGAAGAGAACAGGAAACGTATAAATTTTGGTTTGTATTCTAACGAATACAATGGATGATGACCAACGTCGCCGTTTAGCGACGTTGATGAGTAAAAGGCATTTAAAACAGTGGCCGTAGTTAACGGTCAGTGACGGTTTTCGTTAACGTTAAAAGAGTTTGAACCTCAAGAAAAATAAAACGGCACACAACTCTCTAAGAGCCGTCCGTTAAATCTCGAATGTGTTTACAGCCGTCGGATGCTCTCATTGACCTGAGTGGCAGTCAGACGAATGCCATTAACGTTGTTATTTTATTAATTATATATTTAAAATAATTAATTATGATTTTTGTTAATTAAGACTAAACACATGTTTGTTAGGAAATTAATTAGTTTAATGAGACAAATAACTTCTTCAGTCAATTATATATAACTGTTTGGTAGTAATTTAATGATATAAAAAGTAGAGGTGYGTAGAAAATCGACCGATCCAATTGAAACCGATTGATACAATTAGAACCGAYCRAYCATAATTGAATCATATCRAATTGAAAWTTTCAGCATTCAATTTGGATCAGTAGATWCTTGRACGGCAGTCCCGAACCRATCAACATTCAATTATCCATCAAATTAATCATTCGATGACCATCCAATTGTTCATCCAACCATTATCCAACTATCATCYAATTAATTTATTTTTAAATTGCTTAAATCGGAATTTGTGTTTTGTGAGGCTTTGAATTCTTAAATTCCCTTGTGTTGGTTTTAACACGTATTAAAAGTGATTAATCAATTTGTATCATTGTTGGAGAATTGGATTGAATTAGCATATTGGATGAATCTAATCTTAACGGATTATCCATTAGATATCCGATAGATATCCAAAAAGTATCCAATTGATGGAACCCAACCAATGTTGATTGGATCAGATTGGTTGACAAAATCTAATATCCAATGAATGATTGGATCAGTTCGGTTTCCCTCACATCCTATGGATGTCAACCGGTGAATAAGCCTAATAAAAAATGGTTTATTCGGTGGAAAAACAAGAAGAAATTACTGTTGCGACCATTGAAATATCATTTCCCGCATTTAATCCCTTGAACATGTTTCATTGGACATTGTGAAACTGTTAATGATGGAATAATAGACTATTTAGAATTGTTAATGATGAAACAGAATGAAACTGTTAATGATGAAACATAATGAAACTGTTAACGATAAATATGTTAATGATGAAATAGAGTTACCTAGAAACTATAAAACGGGAATTTTTTTAATAAATAATGAAACATAAAAATATTATTTAATCAACAATTATTGTATATTTTTTAAATATGACAATTTGTATCAACATATTTAATGGATAAATCAATTAAATATTTA